ACTAAGCTGATAACACATTTAACTCCACCCCGCAGCTCTGCCTGCTGTTTTCCTACAATTCTTGTTATAGCTTGAATAAATCTTTTGTGCTACAGCTTAACAAATGATCCTGATCCTTTGCGCCTGACATTAATCTTGTCCTATAACTACTGCTTAATGGGCTCTGTTCTGATCTCTTGAAGTGTTTAGGATAGCCCCTCGCATACCTCATTATGGCAGTCCATTTGGGACTGCTGAAATCAATTATTCCTTCAATGAATGTATGAATCTGGCTAATGCAGTGGTTCTCAACCTTTCTAATGCCGCGACCCCATCATACAGTTCCCCATGTTGTGGTGACCCCCAACCACTTATACATCACCGGGTGCCAAGGGTATGGCCAAAGAAAAGGGGAAAAAAATGGCGGACAGCCTTGTTTGACGACCCCCGTGAAATGGTCGTTCGACCCCAAATGGGGTCCCGACCCACAGGTTGAGAACCACTGGGCTAATGGATCTTCTTGGGTTGAAGCCAGCTTGAGAATAATTTCACATGGGAAGAAGTAATTCTGACCACCGTCACCATCTCAGATTCTCCAATAACCCTAAATTCAGATACTCTCCAAAACAGTCAGAAAGCAAACCAGGATGGGCTGAGATAATTAACAGGTGGCTTATCTCAATCCTCCACCCACTATTCCTTTGGTCTGCACCATCCCAGAAGTGTGATTAATGACCCAAGCAGACTCTGCACCAGCCTCAACTCTCTCGCTCAGACTCCATAATTGTAAAGATAAAGATCCTGAAGATTATTGCAATATTCCTTCCTGACATTTCACAACCCAGAAACATCTTCTGCATGGTCTCAAGTACAGGTTTGAGTCAAGGAGCAGTTAAGATTTTGCCATTAGCCTCCCCATCAAATCTAACAAAAAGAGAATTCTGAACGATCTTTATTCTTATGAGCCTTCTGCTGTTTACATTTCTGTTTGTTGATTCCCCCCCCCCCATCCTTCTTCAAATATTAAAGAGTTGACACTGACATGGTGCTACATATGACTTGAGGACGTTTGAGAAGAATTTTATTGCAGTTTGTCACGGAAATAGATGAAGTATTGAAAGACAAATTTACTGCCTGTAAGAATCTAACTTTGACAGCAATGCAGAAGAGGGCATGCAGTCTTCATTAGCAAACATCCCCCCCCCATCCCATTTAGTCTAACGAGCTCAAGCTAATTAAACCAGCTCTGGTGCTAGGAAAGTTCAAAATGTGAGTTCTTCATGACTCATTTTATTAAGAATTCACCATGCATTAATATAAGATTATGAACGCTTTTTTGTATTCAGGGTTGTTGTTTTTTTTTTTTTTTTTTAAAAAAAAAAACTTGCAGACAAAATCTTCTGCTTTTCTATTGGTGGCTTTTAATTGTGCTTTGCTGTTTTCAGAATTGTGTACATGCCCCACAAGAACAGGCTGTTACCATGCTGTTGTGTTGCTGCCCAGTTCTTCTAGGTGTCAATAAAAAAATGAAACGGCCAGAAATGGCTTTTCTCTCCTAGAGGAATTTAGTGATGTGCTTTGTGTTGAAAGAGAGGTGCTGATTTCTCTTCTGGAAATGCCATACCAGATGTGATCGATCACACACACACACACACACACACATACATGTGCCTGCACACACACACACACACACACACACACACACACACACACGTCTCTTCCTGTCATTGTCAGCTCAATTTTTTTTATTTTATTTTTTTACTAAATAGGGTACATTTCAGAAAACTCATTACTCTCGCTCCCACCCTGGGCCAGACAGCAGCAGCAACAACAACAATCTGATAGAATTGAGAACTAGACAATGAACACCATTGGTGCTGGTTAACAGCTGCAGTAACAATTTCGTTGCATTGCACCATTTTTGTTGTTGTTGTTGTTGTTGTTAAGAAAGTTGCATCTTTAAAAAAAGGTGCATTTTCTTTTCTTTTTGCATAAATTATAGAGAAGTCGGTGGAACGCATGAAAAATTAAGAGACTGAGATGGATTGAATTAGAACGTATGGAACATAGACTAATAGAGCTGGAAAGGATCTCCTTGCTTGAGTAGGAGACCCTATACCCTTTCAGATAAATAGTTGTCCAGTCTCTTTTTGAAATCCTTCAGTGACTGAGCACCAACAACTTCTGCAGGCAAGCCATTCTACTCTTCTGTCAGCAAATTTCTCTTTAGCTCTAGGCTGCTTCTCTCCTTTACAATAATTTCCATCCGTTATTTCTTGTCCTGCCTTCTGGTGCTTTGGAAAATAGGTTGACCCCCCCTCTCTTCTTTGTGGCAGCCCCTCAATACTGGAATGCTGCTATCATGTCTCCCCTAGTCCTTCTTTTCACTAGACTAGACTAAGGTGACCAACCGTCCTCCTTTAGGGAGGACAATCCTCCTTTTGTGAGTTCAGTCCTCCCTCGAAAAGTATCCTTCTACATGTCCTCCTTTTTGATATTTGAAGACTAATCTGCAGGGCTGTTTTTTTTTCTCAGAACAGCATTCCGGCACCTTTTTTTGATGTTTTTTTTTCAACTTTTGCATGAGCTGTGCTACTCCCCCTATTGGCTTTCGAAAGCCAATAGGAATTGCTGCTGAGCGCGCCAAATTGCTGCTGAGCACGGCCGGCAAACTTTGCACATGCAACTTGTCTGCAGCAAAGGTGAATTGGCAAGAACTTTGCACCCCTCCCTGCTACCCAACTGCACATCTCCTAGTTCAGTGGTTCTCAACCTTTCTAATGCCGTGACCCCATAATACAGTTCCCCATGTTGTGGTGACCCCCAACCACTTATACATCACCAGGTGCCAGGGGCGTGGCCAAAGAAAAGGGGGAAAAATGGCGGTCAGCCTTGTTTGGCGACCCCTGTGAAATGGTCATTCGACCCCAAATGGGGTCCCGACCCACAGGTTGAGAACCACTGTCCTAGTTAGTCCCAAAGATACCTGGAGGAGACTGGAGCAGCGATGCCACGGTCACTTTCTCTTGATCTTCGGCTCTGCTAGGGCAATAATGGCTGCGGGCGCAAGAGGCGGGGCGGCGGGGCTGTTGCGGGCAGGTGTGTGAGGGGCGGTGGGGGCTGGCTCTACACGGGGCTGCACAGGTTGGGCGGTGGTGCTGGCGGGGCGGCTGCAGGTGGGGTGTGTCAATGGCGGGCTGCCCCCCGGGGCTGGAGCTGGCACAGCTGGTGCTTTGGGAGCCGCGGGGCCCACTCTGCATTTATCATATTATAATGTATTCTATGTTATTGTTGCAATGAATAAAATGTTTCTTTTATGTACGATATTTTTTTCTTCAATTTATTTGTGTCCTCCTTTTCATTGTAAAAAAGTTGGTCACCTTAGACTAGACATACGCAAATCCTGCAACTGCTTTTCATATTTTTAGCCTCCAGTTCCCTAATTATCTTTGTTGAATACGGAGCAGGAGTGAGCCGTCAAACACCCCCATTATTCCAAGTCTTGGAAGTGGCCAGAGGCTGTAATGAGACAGAAGGGGGAAATTATTAAATGGCTCCAGAAACTATCAAAGCCGTGCAGGGTTACTTCTACGCAGTTTTCTTTATTGCTCCTCACTTACAGCCAGAAAACTTGCCGAACTAAATCAGAATTATACCATTAAACAACTCCTAGGGAGGCGTCGTCTTGATTCCCTTCCTTTCAGCCAAACTATCTGAACTTGGCTGTCTCTGGAATGCACTAAGTCCCTCCTGGGAATCTGGGCTACATTCCTCCTGGGAGTTATCAGTTAACCCAGGGGTAGGCAGCCTCGGCTCTTTTATGACTCATGGACTTCAACTCCCAGAATTCCTGAGCCAGCATGGGGGGAACTACGGCCCCTTCATGACTGGTGGACTTCAATTCCCAGAATTCCTGAGCCAACATGGCTCAGCTTGGAAACCTCTCCCTTTCCCCTCAGCATGGCTGGCTCAGGAATTCTGGGAGTTGAAGTCCACGAGTCATAAAAGAGCCGAGGTTGCCTACCCCTGGGTTAACCTATTTAAGTTACCTCAAAAGTGCTTTTTTTAAAAGGCAACTGGATGGCAGCACCTATCCTCCCAGCCCCCCACCCTCCAGTCACAACTGGTGAAGCCTCTTGGACGAGAAGCAAAACGTCTTCTTTTTCTTCCTCCGAGAACAGTCCAGTTGCCTGTTGAAAAAGCACCTTTAGAGACAACTCTGACCTGGATGACTGAGGATCTCCATAGATATTTATTTAACTTACATTAAACCTTAGGTTTAGTTTTGTTTTGGGCCTTCCACTATTGGATATTGGTCCCTAGCCCAGAAGCCAGGTGTTTAAAAAAAATAGTCCAACCTGATTTTAATAGGTATTATCTCCTCCTTGGCCTGGTGTGGCATTTGATGTCTTCACCTTTGACTGTGAAGAGATTTTATCTGTGTAGATCAATGTTTGGCCACTTAAAGATGTGTGGATTTCAACTCCCAGAATTCCTCAGCCAGCATTCCCATATTCTTTCCTCCTTGGTCTAGTGCAGGGGTAGGCAACCTTGGCTCTTTTTATGACTCGTGGACTTCAACTCCCAGAATTCCTGCCAGCCATGCTGAGGGGAAAGGGAGAGGTTTCCAAGCTGAGCCATGCTGGCTCAGGAATTCTGGGAGTTGAAGTCCACAAGTCATGAAGGGGCCGAAGTTCCCCCATGCTGGCTCAGGAATTCTGGGAGTTGGAGTCCACGAGTCATGAGGGGGCCATAGTTCCCCCATGCTGGCTCAGGAATTCTGGGAGTTGGAGTCCACGAGTCATGAGGGGGCCGTAGTTCCCCCATGCTGGCTCAGGAATTCTGGGAGTTGGAGTCCATGAGTCATGAGGGGGCCGTAGTTCCCCCATGCTGGCTCAGGAATTCTGGGAGTTGGAGTCCATGAGTCATAAAAGAGCCAGGGTTGCCTACCCCTGGTCTAGTGCTAGGAGAGCACTACTCACTTTGTATCCTTGATGTTTGATCCTTTTCTGACAGCGAGAACAATCAATGAATGGAACAGCTTGCTTTGAGAAGTTGTGGGTGCTTCATCACTGGAGGCTTTCAAGAAGAAACCTGACTCAACTCCATAGTTGCACCTGCTCTCGCTCACAGTTTTCCAAACAGCAAGGGAGGGGATGGGTGAATTCCTAAGGACGGAGGGAAGCTCCGGAATGCAAGAGAGCCATCTGTTGCCGGCAAGACATTATCCACCAAGGTCAAGTTATGAAATGTTTGAGCAGCGCAGACAATCTTTTCCCAAAACAAAAGAACTGAACCCAACTGGTGAACTATGAACTGTGAGTAGCCCGGAGGGGGAAAAAGGGGTTTACCTATGTGGGATTTTGCGGGAAAATCCCAAAAATGACTTTGCTTCTGTGTACCTGTTATACCTCCTTTCCATTACCAATAATTTGGTAATTTAAAAGAGCTGAGAGTTTCTTTGGTTGAATGTGCCAAATGGGACGGTTGACACTGGAGAGCCGCTTGCCAAAAATGTTATAGGTTCTCCTGCTTGACCAAGGGGTTGGACTAGATGACCTACAAGGTCCCTTCCAACTCTGTTATTCTAAGTCATGTTCCCTTGCTCTACATTTTCCTTAGATTCATCTTTGTTGTCCCTTTGGTTTGATTCCCAGATTTTTATTTTTATTTCTTCTGAGTTGACCTATGACGATCCTAACAATCTTTTCCGTCTCTGATGCTGTGATTGCTCTCGTTTCCCCCTGTGAGGTGGAGGCTGACTCCCAGAGAATCTGGGTGTCTTTGGTGGGGTGTCAGATGCTTCTGATCTCTCAAATTCTCCCCTCCATCTTGGTTTCTGGAGAAGCATCCTTAAGATGTTCTGCAGGCATCCAAAGTATGGATGATTAAATAAAGATGCCTGCTATCCTGAGAAGCAATCTTACTGCTAATATTAACATTGCTAAATTAGAAGATGCTAATTATGTTCTTCATTAAAAGATGGAAAGGGGCAACAGAAGGAGGGGGGAGTTCCTTTGTTCTCTGTCTTTTCTTTTAAGAAAGGAGGTGGTGATGCTTTGGAAGTATAGCTTTGTCTTCCATAGAGGAGGAACAGCTATGTCAGAGCTAGGAAATTTGTAGATGATGATTGAGTTAAATTGTAGAGGGCAACTGAGGCAATGTTTGCATGGTGGTGGCTTCTTCTATTCTGTTAATTTATTTCCTTCCTTCCTTCCTTCCTTCCTTCCTTCCTTCCTTCCTTCCTTCCTTCCTTCCTTCCTTCCTTCCTTCTTTCCTTCTAGTAAATATGACAGATCTTTTATGCAAAGTATGTCTTGTCCTTTTACTACTCCCCTAATTTTGAAGTGTTCAGAGGTTTTTGAAAAAACAGATTGGACTGTAAATCATCAGTAGGTAGCAGGGACTTCATAGGTACCAATACATCTCAATGGCTTTGTTGATATCCATCAGGTTTCCTGATCTACCTGATTTTAAGAAGAAGAAAAAATCTTATACAAATAAAATAGGAAGCTGGCCTGTAAAGTGGGAATTGAAGAAAATTGGAAAAGAAACTGGCAAGACAAAAAGGCCCTTCTGTAGCAAAATATTTATTTGCAGAAATGGCTTTGGGCCACATGAAGATGTCTCTGAGACAGCAGATATAACTTTGGGAGGCAGTTTGCTTTGTGATAAACAAGCATCTTGTAATTGGCCATGGCAGAGTCAGATCCAAAGAGAATCTGATAGAAAAACCTGGATTTTCTTCAAAGGGAAAACACTTTAAACAATTATTTTCTGCTAAATTACACAACTCAGTAAGGATTTTCTGCAGCCTTTATGGTGGGAATGAGTTCACTTTTCCATGTGATTTAGTGGGCTGGGAAAAAACTTTACACAGACATGCTTTTTCTTTTTTCTTTTGCATAGGAATTGAATTAAACCCAAATTCATTTTTTAAAAGACAGAGTCATTGTTTTCTCTCTATGTATGTTAGAGTTACTGAAGAAGCCAAGGCAATATTTTATTCCTAAGAAAGAGAAAAATTAGTCCTTTGTTCTCTTATGAGCATTTCTCCTCTAGTTTATGGTGAACAGAGGCAGAACACACTACCTACACCCAGTGGAAGTCAACAGTGCTTAGCGCCTTCACAGGGGCCTTTTGTGAAATCCATACAAATCGGTTAAAAAAACCCCTCCTGGCTACTCAGCCTGGCTGCAGTTTGCATATCTGTGATAAAAAGTTCCACAGAGGAGTTTTAATTTCCATAAAAATTCATAAAAGCCATTTTCCGCATGACTCGACATAGAAAGATTTTGGGAAAGGCTATTTCTTCTATGGCTTTATTGATGAGAATCACACAAGATGTAAGATAACGTGGGGTCTTACATCTTTTACACTTGAGTAGATGCAAAAAATGGTAGATGAATAGAATGGAATGGAATAGAATAGAATAGAATAGAATAGAATAGAATAGAATAGAATAGAATAGAATAATGATGGAATAGAATAGAACAGAATGCAGAATAGAATAGAATAGAACAGAATAGAATAATGATGGAATAGAATAGAATAGAATAGAATAATGATGGAATAGAATAGAATAGAACAGAATGCAGAATAGAATAGAATAGAACAGAATAGAATAATGATGGAATAGAATAGAATAGAATAGAATAGAGCTGGAAGGGACCTTGGAAGTCTCCTAGTCCAGCCCCTTGCTCAGGCAGAAGAACCTATATCAGTGATGGCGAACCTTTTAGAAACTGAGTGCCTAAATTGCAACCCAAAACCCACGTATGCATCGTCGAGTGCCGGGTGGGTGTGGCCCATGGGGTGGATGTGGCCCATTGGGTGGGTGTGGCTGTGGTGGTAACAGCAGACTGGGTGAGACTAAAAAGTTCAATCAATCAATTCCAACTTTGCAAGATCTTTTTTTTCCCTGCGAGAAGTTGAAATTGATTGATTGATTGAACTTTTTTTTTTTTTTTGCACACGGCAGCAGAAGCCTAAAACAAAAAGGTTTTATAAAACCCAGCTGAAGGCCTAGGACTGGGGCGATGGCGCACGTGCCCACAGAGAGGGCTCTGAGTGCCGCCTCTGGCACCCATGCCATAGGTTCGCCATCACTGACCTATATTATTAATTGTCTATGTTTGTGAACTTAATTTACACGTAGATGTTTGGTAGCCAACGTGACTGATTAATACTTCTTTCTGGTACGCAGCATACAATTGTGTGAATGTGCGGTGAAAATCACAGTGCAGGAATATTTGCACCCAACAAACAGCTGTGTTGAGTTGAATAACAGATCTAGAAAATGCAGACTTTAATTAATCTGTGTTTTCTGTTGGGATTGCAGTACCATCTGATTTACTTTTCAATGTTGAAAAGTATAATTGTAGCTTTCGCCCACATTGGAGCTGCAGGTTTATCCCTCGAGAAGTTGATTTCCTTCATCTGATTTCCCCCTCCCCACAATCCATATGAAGCCAACAGTACAAGTTGTGAGACCCTGATAATGGATGAGGCTTAAATGCCAGCAATCAGAGAACAAGGCTGCCTTTATACAATCCATGGTTGTATAAACAGAGGCATAGAATAAAAGCCACATGAAATATTAGTACTGCTTTATAAAGCCTTAGTAGGGCCACACCTGGAATACAGCATTTTGGCCACCACGTTACAAAAAAAAAAAAAAGGTTGAGACTTTGGAAAAAGTACAAAGGAGAGCAACTAAGATGATTTTTTTGGGAAACAAAAAACTATGAAGTACGGTTGAAGGAATTGGTTATGGCTAGTCTAGAGAAAAGAAGAAGTAGGGGTGACATGATAGCAGTCTTCCAATATTTGAAAGGCTGCCACAAAGAAGAGGGGGTCAGCGTATTCTCCAAAGCACCAGAAGGCAGGACAAGAAGCAACAGATGGAAACTAATCAAGGAGAGATCTAATCAAGAATGAAGAAAAAAATTCCTGACAATGAGAACAAGTAACCAGTGGAACAGTTTGCCTTCAGAAGCTGTAGGTGCTTTACCACTGGAGGCTTTTAAGAAGAGACTGGACAGCCACCTATCTGAAATGGTACAGGGTCTCCTTTTTGAGCAGGGGGTTGGACTAGAACAGTGATTCTCAACCTTTCTAATGCCGTGACCCCATAATACAGTTCCCCATGTTGTGGTGACCCCCAAGTGGGTGTGGCCACCAATAAGAGGGAGTAGGAGAGCTAGGGTAAAGGGAAAAAAATGGCGGACAGCGTGGTTTGGCGACCCCCGTGAAATGGTCATTCGACCCCAAATGGGGTCCCGATCCACAGGTTGAGAACCACTGGACTAGAAGACCTCCACGGTCCCTTCCAATCCTATTCTGATTGATTGATTGATTGATTTAGCAATGTGAGGTTTGGGGAATATATTTCCTAGGCATTTTATTATCGCTGACACCAAAGGAACCGCCTGTAAAGCAGCATTGGTGCAAAACCTGGGAGTTAGTGGGATGAACTTGTAGCCACACAGAAAATAAAAATTGGGGGAAAACCTTCTAAACTAAGCAAGAAAATGGTTAGGGAGCACCTGTCCAGCCTAGATGAGTTCAAATCGCCAGGACCAGATGGATTACACCCCAGAGTTCTCAAGGAACTGGCAGATGTGATATCGGAGCCACTGAACTATATTTTTCAAAGATCCTGGAACACAGGGGAACTACCAGAGGACTGGAAAAGAGCTGATGTAGTTCCCATCCTCAAAAAAGGAAAAAAAATGGATCCAGGAAATTACAGACCTATCAGCCTGACCTCAATACCTGGGAAGATCCTGGAAAAGATAATCAAACAACGAATCAACGAACACCTAGAGGCAAACAAAGTCATTACTAAAAGCCAACATGGGTTTGTCAAAAATAGATCATGCCAGACAAATCTTATTGCATTCTTTGACCAAGTGACAAAATTAGTGGATCAGAGGAATGCTGTGGACATAATTTACTTGGACTTCAGTAAGGCATTTGATAAAGTAGATCACAACCTACTACTTGACAAGATAGATAAATGTGGGGTAGACAGAACCACCACCAGATGGATCCGTAGCTGGCTGACCGGCCGTACTCAGCGAGTGGTCCTCAATGGAACTGCATCTATATGGAGGGAAGTGTGTAGTGGGGTGCCCCAGGGCTCTGTTCTGGGCCCAGTACTCTTCAACATCTTCATCAACGATTTGGATGAAGGGATAGATGGGGAACTCATCAAATTTGCAGACGACACCAAGCTGGCAGGAATAGCCAACACTCCAGAAGACAGGCTTCAGATACAGAAGGATCTGGACAGACTTGAACACTGGGCACTAAC